GACAACGCTATCGCGCAGAACCTCCCGGATCTGCTGTCGCCCCGTTTGCGTGCAGGACGACCTCTCGGTTCTCAAGGCGTCGCTTGGCAATGGGCTTCCAGTCGAGCTTGCGGATTGGGCCAGGCCCAGGGTCGCGCCGCTTCGCCCTGCATGGGTCAGGACGCGTCAAGACCAGAGTGTTCGGCCTACCCCGCTCGACTAGTCCTCCCCAGTGTTCCCGTAGCAGTGGCTTGCCCTAATCATCCATCTCCGCATCGCACATCTTGCCCAGGCCCAGCTCGCTCGCCTCCACGTTCGCCCACTTATCCACCGCGCCGAACTTGATGTAGATTTCCTGCTTCGTGGCATGCTTCGCCCTGGCACTGTCAAAGCGAGTGTAGACATCCTCGATGAGCTAGGGGCTATTACCCACTATCTCGTGGCAGTTGCGCTGTGCCGAGCCCCAGGTCGCACGCGTGTAGACAGCCGCCTTGCGCGCGAATGGCGTTGGTGCGTCGCCCTTGCCAAGCGAATATACAGGGTGGGTGCGATGGCGCAACGCAAACTGCTGGCTCCTATTGCTCCCGCATCGGTAGCTCGGGCTTCTGCCTGGATCATACTTCAATGGGCCCAGCCGCCTCCGCCCGCGCCGAGGGCAGATCTCGCAGCGCCCATCGCGAAGACGGCCGCTCGAGGTGAGCTTCTTCGCGAGCCCTACCGCAGAGGCCGCGCGAGCGGTCTTCAGGGGGCAATGGATTGCAATCCGCACTGGGCGAGATGAAATTGGGCGTCCAAATTTGCGAAGGATGAGCCGACAAAAACAAGGGCGCAAGGGTGCCCTTGCTGAGGTCCTGCGCCAACGCCACGGATTGCGTCTGCGCCCCGCTCAAGTTTCCGCCAAATCACGATGATGACCTCGACCGAGCAACTCGCGAAGCTCTGGGCAGGGGTCGTCCGCGGACGAAGCAATCACCATAATGTAACACGACGCCTGCTCCCTGGGCATCATGCGCGCCACCCGACGATAGCGCTGCTCGACGGGGGCTATGCGTTTCTCCAGTCCTCCTCCGGACACGTTCCTGATCTGCTCGTCGAGCCTGCTCTTCGAGCGGGGATCGGGCGCGTCGCCTTGGGAATCTGCGCGCAATTTCCTCAGCCGCGGGGGGGGGGGGCGCGCCGTCGACGCCGCGTCGGTTCCCTCGCCGGCCGCAGCTCTGGCGCAAAATCGCCCTGAAATACAACCGAATCGTCGGCCGAGGCGGCTCGCCAGCTGAGAGCGCCCGTAGAAGCGCCCGCGCTTGCGGGTGAGCGGAACACGCGGCGCTGGGCCCGGTTCCTCCTCGCGACGCACTGGAATGGGCGGCGGGCGCGCTCCTCTGTTCGCCGTTGCCGGAACGATTCCCGATGACGTGCTGGTGCATGCCCGCTCCTCGGCCCTGCGCTTAGCGTTCCTTCGCAAGCGCCGATGGGTCGGAGTCAATTGCGTCGCGCGACCTGCAGCGGCATGGAATCTTCGCGCGCGTTCGGTTCATTCTCGGATTCGATTTGCTCGACCGACGCGCGCAATCGGTGGCCGGCGAGCGATCGAGCGGAAGCCGCGAGCGGATCGTCCAACCCTAAGGCAAGAACGCCTGTGAACGATGCGAGAATGGAGCCAGGTCCGAAGAGCAAGCTCTGCCCGAGGATCTTGCCCTTCATGCCGTAAGAATGGTCTTTGGCCGCCTAATGCACGACGTCGTTGGCGCGGGGCTGGGGGCCTTCGGGCAGCGAGATCGCGGCCCACGAAGGGCCGACGCATGAATTCCCTCCCGTCACATCCGTCGCGTCTTCCGTTTCCTGCTTCTCGATGCCCCCTCTTTTCTCGTTGTTGCGATTGCCGCGCCCCTTCCAATCCCCCTGCCCCCGCCCCCCCCGCAGTCTCACTGGGAATCGGCCCCGGAATCCATCTCACCATTGCTGCGAAAGAGAAAGAGAAAGGAAACGTCTTATGGGGCTGGATGCGGGGCACTCCCCCGCGGCGACGAGCTCGGTTTCGTGCGCCAGCCGAATGCTGCCCGGCGCGGCGGCGGCGGCTGATCGGTCGCCGAAACAGCGCCCTCAGGCAAAGCGAGCGCGGACCAAACGAAACCGAAAATAGGGCCGACCCCCATGCGGCGACCTGGTTGGCCCCCGTCCACCTCAGATGCTGAAGAAACGTCGCATCCATGTTGGATCGAATGAATCAACCGCCATATCAGATCGACCGCCATAAGATTCGATAGAACAGATCGGTCGGCCATGCCCCACCGCGGCGGCCGACGCATGAGATCGACCAGATGTTCGCGCGGGACGCATTGGCGACCTAAGGCCACCGCATCAAACTGAATGCGGCGATGCGGGAGCAAGCCGAGACCCGCCTGGGCGACGATTCCCCTGTATTTCCAGGTGCGGCCCCACTCGACATACGACGTAGTGGTCGTTGCACCGTTCTCATTGGAAACGAAAACCACGTCGAAATGGGGGCGTGCCAATCAGAAGTATGTGCGCGAGCGATGGCCGATGGCGCGGGCGAGGCGACAACGTCGGGAGGGCCGGGCGCGCGCGCACGTTGCCCATGCGCATGCACATGCAGTCGCGCACAAATCCGAGCAATCACTCGCACGCGCCAAAGCAAATCGCCCACGACCTGCGATCACCTCACGACGGATGAGGCTGACGCAGCGATCGGGAGGTCAGCGCATCGCCGCGCGATTGAAACCAATGCGCGCGGCCTCCACCTCCACGCCGAAGCAAAGACGCAAACTGATATCACCAATGCTGGAGTCGGCTGGGTGCCACGCGGGGCCCCTTGCGCAAGGTCTTGAAGATGGGCCAACCGCCGATGTAGACGAAGATGCGGTACTGGATATGCTTTGTATGTAGAGCAATGGCAAAGACGCCAGCAGCGTTCAACACTTACATTATGTTGGGTGCTCTTCAGCCAAACAAGTTCCACCGAACGTAATGTTGCCATATGTATCGTGCATTCCGAAACACGAGTTGTTAGCATACGTGGCGGCGTCTGTTCGCGACAATTCTGTGATCGGTTTTTAAAGACAGAAGGTTTCCCCGCCGTCCTGGCCCGCTGCCACTCGATTGCTCCGAGGGGCGCTGAGCTTGTGCCACGCCAGGTCTGGCGGCAAGGCAGCGCCAAGGGCAACGTCAACAACGAACGCCCACCCGAGCGCCACTGATGATTTCCAGCACACGTCACCTCCTCCCCCTCCTCCTCCTCCTCCTCCTCCTCCTCCGCTCTTCCGCTCTCCCGCTCTCGCTCTCCCGCTCTCCCGCGCTCGCTCTCCCGCTTTCCCGCCCTCCCGCTCTCCCGCTCTCCCGCTATTCCACTCTCCCGCTGTCCCGATGTCCCGCTCTCCCGCTGTCCCGCTGTCCCGCTCTCCCGCTGCCCCACTATCCCGCTGTCTTGCTCTCCAGCTCTGCCGCTCTCCCGCTCTTCCACTCTCCCGCTGTCCCGCTGTCCCGCCGCCCCGCTGCCCCGCACTCCCGCTCTCCCGCTGTCCCGCTCTCCCGTTCTCCCGCCGTCCCGCTCTCCCGCTCTCCCGCTCTCCGGCTATCCCACTCTCCCGCTGTCTCGCTGTCCCACTGTCACGCTGCCCCGCTGCCCCACTCTCCCGCTCTCCCGCTCTCCGGCTCTCCAGCTCTTCCGCTCTCCCGCTCCCCCGACTGCCGTCAAAAGCAAAACCCTCTCCGCTTGCATCCGAAAAAACAGCATAGTGACGAAAGTCTGCAAAGAAGCTTAAGTAGATCACAGGGTGCGTGTGTGTGTGTGTGTGTTGTGTGTGTTTGTGCGTGTGCGTGTGCGTGTGCGTGTGCGTGTGCGTGTGCGTGTGCGTGTGCGTGTGCGTGTGCGTGTGCGTGTGCGTGTGCGTGTGCGTGTGCGTGTGCGTGCGTGTGTGTGTGTGTGTGCGTGTGTGTGTGTGTGTGTGGGTGCGTTGTGCGTGTGCGTGTGCGTGTGCGCGTGCGCGGTGCGCGTGCGCGTGTGCGCGCGTGCGCGTGCGCGCGTGCGCGTTGCGCGTGTGCGCGTGCGCGTGCGCGGCGCGCGCGTGCGCGTGCGCGTGCGCGTGCGCGCTGTGTGTGTCGCGTGTGTGTGTGTGTGTGTGTGTGTGCGTGCGTGCGTGTGTGTGTGTGTGTGTGTGTGTGTTGTGTTGGTGCGTGCGTGCGTGCGTGCGTGCGTGCGTTGCGTGCGGTGCGTGCGTGCGTGCGTGCCGTGCGTGCGCGTGCGCGTACGCGTGTGCGTTTGCGTGTGCGATGTGTGCGTGTGCGTGTGTGTGCGTGAGTGCGCGTGCGCGTGTGCGCGTGCGCGTGCGCGTGCGCGTGCGCGTGCGCTGTGCGCGTGGAGCGCGCGTGCGCGCGCGCGTGCGCGTGCGCGGCGCGCGCGTGCGCGTGCGCGTGCGCGTGCGAGTGCGTGTGCGTGTGCGTGTGCGTGTGCGTGTGCGTGTGCGTGTGCGTGTGCGTGTGCGTGTGCGTGTGCGTGTGCGTGTGGGTGTGGGAGTGGGTGTGGGTGTGGGTGTGGGTGTGGGTGTGTGTGTGTGTGTGACCATCTCTTTACATGTGTATATCTCTACATATATAAATATATACATAACAAACGCCTCGACCGTTCCAGATCGTTCTGGAACGATCTGACAGAGTTCCGCAACGCTCTGGAGCGACCTACACTCATCATAGTAAACCTGCCAGAAAGTGGTGGAATGACGTGTGCCGGGGCTGCCTCTCCAGGTCTCTCTCGAATTCTCTGCGCGAGGCCCCTCCCAAATGTCGCACCCCCTTCGCGCGCGCGCACTCATCTGGCCCCCGTTCCTGAGGATCCCGAAGCTCTCCGTCGAATGACCCCTGACGAGCTCAACGAGTGCTCACTGCTGACTCCGCTTGCAACGTGTTGATCTCTCTGTGCTGTTCCGTCGGCTCCTCTCCAGCCGCTCCCACTTCCATCCTTTGACTTGCCCACGCCAGGCACCTCACCGTGACTGCCAACTTTCCAGAGATCAGAAACCGATGAAGTGACAGACAGACGTTCCCCACCACGTCAAGTACAGCGCATCTGGTGCAGCAATACCACACATGCCGATCACAAAGAGGACGTTGAAAACAGCGGACCTGGGAAGACATGAGCGAAGGATAGCTGCGCAAATATGCACCTCGGTAGCGAATGCTGGCGTTAATGCTAGTATGCGAACAAGGAAAACCAGGGCATATTCTGAGGATCGGTAAGGCATTAGCGTTGTAGACAGGCTGGGCAAAAGACCGATTCGTACGAGTGCGCCTGAAGCTGGCATGTCGCGAGCACCCAAAGAAGCGTGGCGCACGAGCTCCAAAGCGATGTTCCCCAATTAATGCTTGCACTGAAGGAATCCTATCAAATGTTGAAAGACTTGGCGAGACTGTCCAGCCGGTTTCGGTGGGCAACCGGGTTCCCGGGTTCCCAGTTCTGAGGTTCGCGGGTTCCCGGTTGCTGGTTCCGAGTCGATGTCGGTGGACGGCGGGGTTCTAGGGTTTTCGGGTTCCCAGGTTCCTGGTCGATCTCCTTACCGATCGGTCTCACTATCGATCTCATTACCCGCCTCTCTATCGATCTCACGATCAATCTCACAGTCGATCTCACTATCGATGTCAATATAGATCGCACGAACGATCTCACGATCGATCTCACTATCGATCTCCGTCTCACGATCGACCTTACTACCGTGCTCACTATCGATCTCACGATAGATCTCACAGTCGATCTCAAGATCCAGATCACTAGTTGAGAAACCACTGGTTGGAGGCTTTTCCCTGGTGTAGTTAGGAAGCTGATGTCCAACCCTCCTTTTGACGAGAACTCGGCCAGGCGCGGTCTGCCAATGGAATTGTCTGACAGTTGGAAGCGTATCTGCCCTGGCATCATATTGGGAATAGTCGTTTCCTCCGGCTTGGCACATGTCTTTGCGTTGAAGCGTGATCTGGCACAGTGCCACTTTTATCGCCATGTGCCGCGCTGCCTGGCAACCCCCATCACTACAGCAGAACTGCCCTGTGAATCACCCTCTCGTTACGGAGCTCCGCATGTGCCACCCCCCTTCCCGACTTCCCGATGCCACGAGCCCGCGGCACCCCGAGGCCGGAAAGCAGCCGAGAACCGACGCAGACGCCCGAGCACCTCGCATCTGACGCGTTCCACTCCCCCTTCCATCCTCGCCGCCACCCCTGGCGGCCGACCCCATGATCGCGAAGATCCCCACGTCGCCCGGCGGGCGCTGGAGCATCCCGGCCATGGCCGTGAAGAACTCGGGCGCGGAGCCGCCTCTGTCGCGGCGGAGGTGGGCCGCGCGGGGGGGGGGTAGGCGCGACGCCCCTCGGCTTGCCCCTCGGCGTCGCCTCCGCGCCTGCTCTCAGCAGGTAATCACGCGTGAACCCTACTCCTGCGTTGTCCCCCCGTTCCCCTCCTTCTCCTCCTCCTCCTCCTCCTCCTCCTCCTCCGCGTCCTCCTCCTCCTCCTCCTCCTCCTCCTTCTCCTTCTCGTCCTCCTCGTCCTGCTCCTCCTCCTCCTCCTCCTCCTCGTCCTCCTCGTTCTCCTCGTCCTCCTCGTCCTCCTCGTCCTCCTCGTCCTCCTCCTCCTCCTCCTCCTCCTGTTTCTCCTCCTCGTCCTCCTCGTCCTCCTCGTCCTCCTCGTCCCCCGCGTCGTCCTCCTCGTCGTCGTCGTCCTCCTCCTCTCCGCCACACGGCGCCTTGCAAATGATTAGATTAATCTACCAGAATCCCCCACACGAGGACGTCACGGGATTAGCGATACCCTCCTCGCTCTAGCGGAGCCTCCCTGGAAGGGTGCGAAGGGACTGCGAGGGGCACGAAACCTTGTAATTATCCCACTGCGACCCTACCTAGGACTTGGAACACTTAGGAAAGCAACATCTACATCTACACCGACAGCTACGTTTACATCTACACGTGCATCTACATCCACATCAACATCAACAACGAGACTCACATCTACATCTGCATCTACACCTCTATCTGCACCTGCATATACACATATGCTATGATATGATATGCGGCGCTATGCTTATGATATGATATGCGATGCTGCGTTCTGCGATGATATGATATGATATGATATGCTGAACTGTGCTATGTCATGCCGGGTTATGATATGACATGATTTGATGCGGCATGCTATGGTATGCTATGATATGCTATGGCGCGCTATGTTATGTTATGATCTGATGCAACGTGCTATGTTAACCAGTGCTATGCAATGCTATGAGATGATATGGTGTTATGTGATATGTTGTGACATGTTATGATATGATGAGCTATGTTATGCGATGATTGGCGATGCTATCATATGCTATGCTGTGCTAGTGCTGCGCTGCGCTATGCTGCGCTGCGCTGCGCTGCGCTAAGGTAAGCCAAGCTAAGCCAAGCCAGGCCAAGCTAAGCTGAGCTAGGCTAAGCTAAGCTAATATGAGATAAGCTAAGCTAAGAGAAGATAAGTTTAGTCTAGCTTAG